GGGGGTTGTGCTGTGACAGGCATTTTACAGACGGAGGCAGCAGGAGTTGAGGCCACGCTCCCGGCCGGGGCTCCGTGGCGCCGGGCAGCCTGTTCCTGTGGGGGGGTGCTCGCCGGTGGCCCCCGCCCAGCTAAGCAGCCTTTTCCCACGCTTCTTTCAGTGCTTTGAGTACCCCAACTACTTCCGGGTGGTGCTCACGGTGCCCGAGGCGCTGATGGTGGAGGCCTGCAGTCGCATCCAGGAGTTCTGTGAGAGGCACTACCAGGGCAGCGAGGGGGCCCAGGACCTGGAGTGTGACAAGTAGCCTGGGGTCCGGTGGCCCCCGCCCAGCTAAGCAGCCTTTTCCCACGCTTCTTTCAGTGCTTTGAGTACCCCAACTACTTCCGGGTGGTGCTCACGGTGCCCGAGGCGCTGATGGTGGAGGCCTGCAGTCGCATCCAGGAGTTCTGTGAGAGGCACTACCAGGGCAGCGAGGGGGCCCAGGACCTGGAGTGTGACAAGTAGCCTGGGGTACCCCCACTCTGCCTCCGCCCAGCCAGCAGTGGGCTGCCCTCAGGTCAGCACCTGCACCCCCGAGCACCTACTGCAGCTGGAGCAGGCTGGCATCCTGCAGAGCGTCTGCATGTCCATTCAGACATGGAACCAGCAGCCACCGCTCGAGCCCGCTCATGCTCCGGCTCCCAGGCCCACAGGCCCCAGTGTCCCTGGCCCGCAGCCACAGGGCCTGCGGCTCCCCCGGGTCAGCCAGGCGGAGCATGCGGGAGCCAGGGCTCTGGTGCGGGGAGACCCAGGCTGCATGTGAGACGACAACCCCCACAGCAGCCATGTGGGATGCTGAGCTAAGGCTGTGTCGGAGCAGAGCTTGGCCGCTGTGGCTGGAGCAGGACCGGCCGGTCCAGGGTACACATGCACGATGGACCCCTCTCTTCCTGCAGCACAGAAGGTTGCTGACACCGGACGTCTCCCCTGTCCCTGCAGGCTCTGGGCACTCGGCCCTTGGAGACGCAAAGAACATAAGTTATTGTAACTATTTTATTAATAAAGGTTGGGACGTGCCTGGCCTTGTGCTGTGACTGCCCTGCCGCGGCTGCTCTCTGCCGGCCCAGGCCAGCTGGAGACACACCGGCTGGTTCCTCCTCCATTGGCACTTCTCATGGGCGGCTCAGACTAGGGATGTTAAATAGCGGGTAATGGAAGAGTCGATTAACCTCGGGAATTCTTATCGGTTACTCGACTATTCTATAGTGCCTGGGGGCGGGGCCAGCAGCTAGTGCGCTCTGGCCCCACACCCAGGGAGCCCCCTGCCACTCTGTGCTGTGAGAGGCACCAGGCGAGAGCTGATCCACTCGGGGAGCCAGCTTAAAAGCCAGCCCCCCTCATGGACTGGCTGCCTGTCGCCCCACGTTGCTGCCCCTGATACCGAGGCAGGGCGGGGGGAATGGGTGCTGGCAGCCTCGGTCCAGGGAGGAAGGGGCGGAGCTCTGGGATCCGATGCGAGCCAGAACTGAGCCAGGCTGCCTCCCTGCCTGGCTGGTAATACACTTTAAATGCAGAGCCAGAGCGGGGGTAGGTCCTGGACCCAGCACAAGCCAGGGCTGAGAAGGGCTGCTGCAGCCTACTAAACAATTGACTGGTGGCGGGAGTGAGGGGGATGCGTGTCGTCTGCAGCATTAACCTATAAGCATTTGCTTATCAGGTAATCGATTACGCTATTATAGCCCGAGTTCAGACCAGCCAGGCCCGGGATCCTCGTGTGTCTCAACCCCCCGTGCCTCTCAGCCGCAGCATTTTGACTCAGCTCAGGGCTGGTAACGACACTGAACAGCCCCGGTTTTCAGCCCCGAAACGTCACCTACCAAACAGAGTGTCAACCGGCAAAGGCTCGGACACATGCCAGAGCCAGCCCCACGCACCCCTGAGTCTGCCCTTCCCTGCCCCCCACTGATCTCTGCCCCACCCTCGTACACAGCTCACCCCTCCCAACAACTGCCGGTGTGTCTCTCCCATCGCTCTCCATCCACGTGCCCCGCACACTCTCTCCCATCCCCTGTGGGGGCAGGGGCCTTGGTTCTCAGCCACACTCTGCCACCGACTCACTAAACGGCCGGGGGAGTCGTTCCCTGTACAGTGCAGGGCTGAGTGGCTGCGCAGGAAGGAATCCAGACATGCCCCTCCCCTTGGTGGTGCGGTGCAGCGAGGGGCCTGCACTGACTGGCTGCCTCCTCTGAGTCCAGCCCCTGGAGATGGAGAAGGTGGGGAAAGGCAAGCTGGGGGCTCGGGGAGGGGAATAGGAGTGCGGGAGTCAGCCACGGGGTCGGGAGGGGTGACTCGGGGCTCTAGGGTTGCCAGATGGTTGAACCAAAAATACTGAATACCCCTCACCCACCAAAAAAAAACCACTGGGGGAAAAATTCTGTTGAGGAAAAAAAGGGGAGGGGCCAAAGTTGTTGGGGGGAAAAAAAGGACTTTGAGACTTATTAAGAAAAAAAACAAACAAATTAAATAATAAAACAGCATTAAACCAGCATGGCCCCCTTCAGAGTGAGCGCAGAGTTAGACGAGGGCTAGGAACAGGGGAGCGGTTGAGCACTAAGACCCAGGGAAGGCATTGCTTCCCCTTGGTCTTTAGGCTTTGTGCCGCTGGCCATTTCGTGGTCTTGTTCAAGCCAGAACGTAGCTTCCCTGTAGAACCAGGTAAGCACGGGGTCCGGTGTCGGGGCCCGGGGAGGAGGCGGGGGCTGGGCCCAGGCCCAGGCCCTAGGGTTGCCAGGTGTCTGGTATTTTCGCCTCCTGGCCGGGGAAAAAAATCAGAAAATACCAGACATTTTAGGTGTCCGGTATTTTCTGAATTTTTTTTACCAGACAGGAGGCGAAAATACCGGACTGTCCGGGTCAATACTGGAGACCTGGCAACCCTACAGGGCTCCAGCTGCCATCATTGGGCCTGTAGATGCGGGGCTGGGTTGCCAGGTGTCTGGTATTTTCGCCTCCTGGCCGGGGAAAAAAATCAGAAAATACCAGACATTTTAGGTGTCCGGTATTTTCTGAATTTTTTTTACCAGACAGGAGGCGAAAATACCGGACTGTCCGGGTCAATACTGGAGACCTGGCAACCCTACAGGGCTCCAGCTGCCATCATTGGGCCTGTAGATGCGGGGCTGGCGG